ATTTAATAAGATAATAATAATTTTTAATATCTCTTTATACTTTAAATATCTTCTTAACTTTATATTTATTAGTATCTTTAACTATAATTCTTATAATAAATATAGAATTATCTAATATTTTTTTAAATAGTAATATATAAAATATTAAATAAATCTTTATTTTATCTAGTAATAATAGTTTATAATATATTTAATAAATAAGTAATCTTAAACACGCTGCTACTGCCTCCGGAATAGTAGTAACCCTAAATAGGTAATACGCGCGCCGCCGCTTTGCCTACCTACCCCTACTTAAGGGCCCTACCCCGCCACGTTATACCCGCTAAAATATAAATACTATAGCCTCCTCTAGCTACTATATTAAATACTCTTAACTTCTTCTCTCCTTAACTAGCTATAGTAATACACTTACTCTTAGTACCTAAGTCCCTTATAGTATAACCCCTTTTTACTATCCCCCTTAGCCTATATTTATATAAGGGATCTTATATAGTTAAAGTTAGATAAGCCTAGGTAAGCTAGCTTTATCTTATATCTTTACTTAATATTAATAGCTTTACTATTACTTTTTATTTAATTATAATATTAAAGTTACTTATACTCTTAATAATATAAGTTACCTAGTTTATATATTTATTTTACCTTTAAAACCTAAGTTTTATATTAATTATTAACTTATTTTAGTTTATAAGTATTTCTTATTTCCTTAGTACTATATTTTATATAATTATCTATAATATTTTTTTAACTAGTCTTAAAAATACCTTATAATATATAATAATAAGCCTATTTTACTAAAATTATATTAGTTATTATAGACCTTATAGGCTAAGTTTCTAGACTATAAGATAAACCTATCTAAGTTAATATATTACTAAAGTAAGTATAAAGAAGGTCTTAACTACTTAATATTTTAGATATATTTCTTAAAAAGGGTATATATATATTATAGCTTTTTTATTATTTTTAAAAAATTATAGTATTATTAAGTTTATTATATTACTTTAAATTATTTTATAAAATATATAATTATAATTTTAAAAATTACTAGCTATAACTAATACTTCTAGTTACTATATATAATTAAATAAGCTAATTTAATAATATTAAAAAGTAATATATTACTAACTTTTTAAGGTATAACTTATAATATATAAGTAAGCTATATAAATATAAAAATATAAAGTATAGTTTATATAACTTAGTAATTATATAATTAATATAAAGCTAAACCTATAATTAGACTATATTAAGCTTATTATATCTATTTTATTATAAAGAAGTTATTATTATTACTTTATATAATAGGTATTTTTATAAACTTAAGAGCTATTAGTACTAGGATAGCTTATAAGGTCTAAATAAAAAGTATTAATATCTATTTACTTAAAAGGCCTTATAAGCCTAAGAGGTTTAGTATAGTTAAAGCTAAAGTTAGCTCTTCCTAGTAAATCTAGGTTTATTCTTTATAGGTAAGTACTATAATAATATAATAATAATTATTTTTACCTATAACTAGTATATCTCTTCTACTATTATAGTAATAAGGTAAGAGTATAATATTATACTAATAATATATTTTAAAATTATAAAGTATAAAGTTAGACTACTTATACTAGCTCTAATATCTTAGTATTTATCCTAATCTCTTATATATAAAGCTATAAGTAAAGGTCTAAATAAGGTAATTCTTATTTTTACTAATTTAGAATTAGAGTCTATATTAAAATTAGATAATAAAATAGATAATAATATTTTATCTCTTAAGATAATAAATAGATATATTAATAATAAAGCTATAATATAACCTAATATTTTATTAAGTAAGTTAGCCTCCTAGCCTTAATAAACTATTAAATAGAAGAAGTAAAGTAAATATTAAAGTTAATAATTATATTAGTATTAATAATAATAACTATATTTAATATATTATAAGATATTTTACTAAGTCTTAAAGAAGATAATAACTTAAATAAGGCTATATAATATTTACCTTTTACTTTTCTTACTACCTCTCCCCTTTTAAGGTAAACGTCTAGGGATAGGTTAGACTTTAGTTAGTACTTACTAAGTATACCTACTAAGATAGTTAAGTAAGGTTATAGGTAGGTAGAGGATATAAATAAGTTACTTATAAGTTATTATAGTAATTATAAACTAAGCTATTATACTAAGTTACTATAATAGACTTAGCTATATAAGAGTATTATTTATAATAATTTAGTATCTATTAATAGTAATAGTAATATTACTAATAATAATAATAGTAATAGCTCTTCTTATAATAGTAATAGTAATAGTAATAGTAATAGTAATAGTAGTAATAATAGTAATAATAACTATAATAATAATAGAAGTTCTAATGATACTAATAGTAAGGATAGTAGCTATAGTAAAAAGTGTAGTATAGACTAGTTGCCTTTAGTAACTAGTTTTAAAGATAGTTATACTAATAGTCTTTTAAATAATAATATAGTAGTAAAGACTCTTAGACTATATAAATATTAGAAGGTCGCCTATAAAGGAGTAGATATAACACTTATCTATATCTTAAACCCTATACCTTACTCTAGAGGACTTCTATTATAACTATCTAGATAGGCTTAAATAGCTAATATACTTAGCCTATTAGCCTTTTATAGCCTATCTAAATTTAAAAGTAAGAATAGCTTAAATTATAAAAAGGTATTATTAGTATCTTTTAATAAATAGTAGTTATAAAATACTATATTAAAGTATATAATAATTAATAGAATTAATATATTTTAATTATAGTTTTAATAAATATAAGTATATTCTTATAATAACTAGTAATAATAGTAACTATATAAACTAGTTAAGAATAAAGCTATAGATTAAAAATTAAGGGATAAGATAAAAGGTTAATAATATAATATATATAACTAGTCTAGTTATAATATATAAACCTATTAAAGGTATATATAAATATCTAGTAAGGATAGTAGTTATAAATATTAACTAGTTATATATATATAGCTTTCTTATAATAAATATAAAGACTAGGAGTTTATAAAATACTAGTAAGAGTAATAGTAAATAATAAGTAAGATATTAAAGATATTTCTTATAAATATTAATATAGTATATAAAAATATAATTAAATAGCTAGTATTTCTAAATATTAATATAAAATAGCTACTAAGATATTAAGAACTTAGTTTTACTTTTTAAAGATTTTATTATCTATAGCTATTATATATAAGAAATAGGCTAGCTATAGATAGTCTCTAAAAAATTACTTTATCTAAGTATTTATCTAAATAAATATAATTACTTACTTTTACTAGTTATATCTCCTTATCTTTATAATATACTAGGTAGCTAACTTAGTAGTCTAATCTTAAGAGGACCTTAAAGTTTAGTATATAATAAAACTATAGGTAACTAGCTTATAAAATATATATTCTTTTATTTTATTTAATATATATTATATATTTATATACTTTTAGCTAAATAAGGTAACTAGGTATACTTCTAGATATATTAAAAATATTAATTAAAATATACTTATACCTTATATTATAATATAATCTAATTATCTATATTATTATTATATATAACTAGTTATTCTCTATAAGCTTTATATTAAGTAATATACTAAAATAATCTATATCTAGCTTTTCTTCTATTATATTTATTATAAAAGTATAATGCCTTAAAGAAATAAAACCTCCTTTTTCTTTTTTAATCTAGGAGATAATATTTTCTACTATATCTTAAGATAAATACCTATATATAATTAAAAATAATAAGATCTAAGCTAGGCTATATTTTATTATAGGTATATAATTAGTAAAT